GATTCTATCTGGGTCTGAAGGGTGGTGTCACTACTCAGTGTAAGCGTATTATAGAAAGAATCTGCATTTGTTTGTCAAAAACTATTACCCAAGCCAATAAATTTTGACTTACTCTCTTTGCCATCTTATTTCTTCCTGTAATTTAAGCTCAAATGTCTATTAAATCGGGGAATATCAAGTGTGGATGAAATTTCCACATCATCAAAAACTCTACCAACTCATAACTGTGTAATGCAGCATAGTTTCTTCTATGTATAGAGTTTTGAACTTAAACATATATTACATATCAGAAAACCATAATTTAAATTTAGGCATGTTCCTCTAAGCATAGAGTTTAACTTATATGTTTTGTTAGGTTAGTTTATCATGTTGACTCTATTAAACAGCATCCAAACTTGTTTGTGAGAGGGAGAAAGAAGAGAAGAACCTGTTGTTGTGATACATAAAAGAGAGCAATCGGCACTGTCTTTAAAATTAGGAAGGCATTGGTAAATATCATCTTTGGTTTCAGCAACATCACACTCGATCATTTCCTCTTCATAAAACTTACCCTTATAGTCCCATTTGATAACATCAAACAAAAAGTGAACAAAGCAATGTTTATCTAAAAGGGCTAATATAAAATGACTCAGGACAAAAATGTAAGAGAAAATTAAAAAAAGTAGTACTTGAAACACCCTCTATTTCTGCTTTGCCTATGTTGTCTGTTTGCTATTTTGAGGAACTTCTAGGAAAGTAAAGTGAATTTCTTCATTCAACTGCCAAAAAGAAAGACCCTTTTATTTTGATAGGCCAAATTGCAATAGTTCCCCTCGCTACCCCTACCTCTTCTTATTGCTGATAATAATTAGAAACCACACTTCTTGCTACAAGAAGCCAAATGGGATGGCTTGAAATGGAAGGAGTTTTAGTGAAGTGTCAATGGTGTGTGCTTTTACCCAAGAAAAGGTGTATCCCCATCTAAGACGAAAGAAGGATAAGGCATATTGCATGTGCTAGCACCAATCCTGTTGAAGAAGCCAGTTTTGCATTGACCACATGAGGTAGCAAAGAAGCACAGCATAGAAGTACTCTTTGTTCTTCATTTTGCACACTAGATGAAACTTTAGGACTATGTTCCAATTGAGGGCAATGAGTGGAATATAGTGAAATGATACTGTATTACGTTTTATTGTTTAGAATGTCAACATGTTGATATAATAGGATGATAATTAATGAAATGGATTTTTATCTTGTTTTAGGTACAATTTTTAATAAAAAAAAATATTGTTTTTTATTTTTTATTTAGTCTTTGGATAAATATTTAAAATGATTTTTTAAAACTTAACATTTTAAAAAAATGATAATTAATCAACTTTTTCCAAAAAAAATAAATTAATACTATTTTTTCTAAACAATGGAAAAATATTAACATTAGGTTCTAAGACTAATTTTAAGTAATTAAACTTATAAAAATTTATTAAAAATATATTTTATCAAATTTAGATGTTTAAAATTAAACCTAAAAATTAATATTACTAACAGAATAAAGTATATTATTAACTTTACTTATTTCACCTATTTATAATTCACTACATTCTTTTTACATTTTCTTTATTATGAGAGAAATATTGTGTGAATCCTATTAAATACTAGTTTTTTTTGTCACATTTCTAGAACAAATTTTCTATTTATATATTATTTTAATGTTTCAAAATATTATTTATTATTTCACAACTATACCTCTATCCCAAAAAAATGTATGAATATCAAACCAAAAAATGAGAGAGATAAATACTATGTTAGAAAATTTAAAATAAATATAATATAAAAATATTACCTTTCTTAATTTAAGCACCTATAAATATTTTTGGTCATAAGCACCTATAACCTTAAAGACGTGGGTGGAGTAAATCAAATACGCTCCTTATTAGTGAATTCATATGCATCATATCTGATAATACAAAGAGTTTAGGGGGGAAAAAGTGTGAGAAAGACTGTTGGAAAGAATATGATTGTTAATATTTCTATTGCTATGAGAAAATCAAATGAGGAAGTGTAGTAGTAACATTAATAGATTCATGGAGTTAGATCCAAGGAAATTATGTAAGTTAGGTCCAGAATAGAAATTGAAATACATGGGCTTGAGCTTGCACATGATTTTGATACTCAAAGCCCCAGTAAAAGCCCATGTTTGATATCATGAAAAACAATATTTAAAACTTCTACAAAATTCAATTTCAGTAATAATCACTTATAAAATTATTAAATTTTTGTAAAAGAAACCCTAACTTCTGGTAAGAAGTGTAGAAAGAAAGTTTAAATAAACTGAGCATGAAGAAGCGATAGCACCCCAAAGCCAAAAAATTGAGATTTATCTTCAGGAACAGTTATGTTGTTTTCTAGTAATAAAAAATAATATTATATATTTTTATTTTTATTTATTTTTTTGGTTATATTTCAAAAATATATCTTAATTACAAAATAGAAAACACCTAAAACTACTCCTTACTAGTAATTCAAGTAACATTTTTCCTTTTAGAGACATTTGAACAACGTATAGTTAATCCTATTACAACCCAATTTACCTAATTTTCTAGAAGAAAACAATTGTTATATACACATGAGCCCGAGTACACATTTAGTGAAACATAATAAAATAAAAGAAGATTATTATAATTGATATATGAGATAGAAAAAGGGAGAAAGAAAAAGAAAAATATGGTAAAAGAGAAATAAAATTACTAAGAGTCTATTTGAATTCTCTTTTAAACATTCTTATATTTACATTTATTTTACTATTACTAATTATATCTTTTACATTATATTCATATTAACATAATTTTAAATGTGTCTTCAGTCATTCACTACAAAGTAGTCCAATTGAAGGTGCTGTAATTCAAAATTGACGCAATCGGAAGGCGAAGGTATGTTGGGTCAGAAGTCAACATAGACTTAATTTCTGCTTGAGATCATGCATTGATAGGTCATCTAAAGTAGTTAAGTACTACTACTTTGTGACATGTTTGTTTACGAAAGAAAAAATAATTGAAAACTTTACAACTAAACCCACCTAATTTTACTAGGAACTAACAATTACTCATTTTATTTTATTTTCTTTGATGCTTTACTAGTTTTTTTATTCTCAAAATATATTACTTAAATTTTATTAAATTTTAAATAATCATAAAAATAGACATTAAATATTTTTATCATATTAAGATAATAAATATTATATTTTTAACTTATTAATCCATGTCCTTAGACATACAATTAAAAAAATTTAATTTAATAAAAAATAATAAAAAAGTGAAATTTATCTCAAGTGTAGAGAAACAAGTGTACGAACGCAAAACCTCGTAAATTCGGGATCAGTTATGCTTTTTATGCATTGATTGGTGCAAATGCTCACGAGAAATTTTCAGTTCTTTTGTTTATCTGATTCTTGAAAATTGCAGATTGAAAGGCACCAATCAGATTGTAACAGGGCAGGCCCTAAAGGATGCAGAGAATGAGGCTTTAAGATGAAGCCAATTGTCAAGCAAAGAATACCAATTCTCTTCCAAGAAACACTTTCATAATTTTAATAAATCGTTAACCTAATAACTTATAAGTAATATTTTTTAATAAATATATTTTAATAAAATTGTATTATTTTTTAATGCTTAAAAGTTGGAAATTTAAGCTCTTATCTCAGTTAATATATTAAAACAAGTTATAATTAAAATAGACTGAAACGTAGTCCTCGAGTTGACCAACTGGCTAGAGCCTACTTGTTTTGCGATTGCGTGTACATAGTTTGAACATTCGGGAATGGGCATGCATATATACACATATATTCAAAAACTTTCATTTTTCTTTCCCTTGGTTGTATCTGTATTCTATGCTCTACCTAGAAATTGTGAAATATCTTCACTAATTTATTTCTTTTATTATGACTTGAGCAAGTTCTTCACGCATAAAATTTGGTTACTTCTTGGGCACTTCCACAGTTCCACCCTCTGCCTAACTTTTATCATAATTCTACACAAAATCGGTCACATAAGCTGAATTTGGATCTCAAAGTTCTCTGTTTATCACTTTCCTCTTAACTACGTCATGCTTAGAAGTTAGAACCCATATTACTGATCCATTCAGAGTAGAAAGTTATTATACTCGTTAACATAATAACAGCATGTTGTTGCTGTATTCAATCTGTTTTAATACTCTTTAAATTTTACTTAGGAAAATGAATTAGCTGACTGCTACGGTTTTATATTCTAAATAAAATATAAAAAATATTAAAATAGAGTATATATCTAATTGCACTTGTCTAGGCAGCAATAGCTTATGGGAATTAATTTCCAGGCAATCTAACACTTACCTATTATATATTAGTCAATGGGACACAAGAATGTTACAAAAATGTACAAGATACAATTCTCTAATCATTCCCTCGGGAGAAACATAAAAAAAAAGGAAAAGGAAAAGAAGATTCTATGAGGCAATGAAACTGGAATAATCATATAACACGCTCAAATTTGTAATTTTCTCATTAAAGTAGGGAAAAAAAAGATAGAAAAACTTCCTCCAATTGCAAGCATAATTAATTCCTTTTCAAAATTCACATGCCAAAAGTTATTCTTTCCTTTTAAATATCTGTAATGTAAGGTATGCACACACCAATTAAAGAATCGCTGACCCAAAAACCCCTCTCTCTCTCGTATGATTAATGTTTAAGCAAAAAGGAAATTAAAAACATAATTCAATGATTTTAAATTTTGTAGCAGATATTTCAAATCTAATAAAATTTTAAAAGTAATATATATTCGATAAATGACTACGAGTAAGAGCACATTTTCCCAAGAATAATAATAAAATAATAACTTAATCATCTATTAACTATGTGTCATACACACAATATTCAATAATACACTAGATGGATGAAAATCCAACACCACCACTAATAATATACTAATAGTAAAGTATAAACAATCGTTCAAAATTTTTTTTTTTTTTTTTAATTTATTTTAAGTTTTGTTATGTACATTTCATCTCCATGATTCCATTGGAAGGGCCCCACCAGCAAACGAAGAAAGAGAACTCAGAAGGAAGAAGTGTAATCGGCGTAGAACTCGGTAACACCAGAAGCAGCCCAAAGGCGTTGATTATAATCATCAAGCATATCATCGGGAACAAAGGGAGTTCTACAAAGAGGACACGTTTTCTGATCGTGATCGATCCAACGGTCCACGCAACTCTGGTGAAAAATGTGCGTGCAGTTTCGCATACACCGAATCTCTTCCTCCGCGGAGAACTCGAACAGACACACCGCGCAACTCGTTTCCTTGTTTTCCTCGAGGTCGCCGAACTTTGCCACCGGAAGCAGTTCACGGATCAGCACCGCCGACAGAGAGGGGGTCCTCGCCATGTCGGCGGTGCGGGCGCCGGCGGCGGGATCCGGCCACGTCACCTCGGATTCGAGGAAGTCAGAGAGGCCGAGGAAGTGGAAGAGGAAGAAGACGAGGTTTCGGAGAAGTCCGAGGAGGGCCAGCGTGTGCAGGAACGGGTTCGGGAAGAACACTTCCGCGTAACCCACCGGAAAACCCATCGGAAAATGAAATAGTATCGGAGAAGACACGGTTTGGTGGCGTTTAGAGAGAGCAAAGTTTAAGCAGAGAGAGAAAGTGTGAGAGAGAAGAACTGAGGAACGGAAGAGAAAGAGAAGCTTCGAACGTGGGGAGTGAGCGTGGTATATATAGTCACAGCTTTTTTATAAAAACAATATATTCGTACTTGAGCAATTATTAAAAGAAAAATATTAAAGTAAGATAGTAAAGAGTTAACTTTTATTTTGAAATGCATTTTCGAGAAGGGTATATATTTATAGACTTAAATAAAAAAGATAAAAATAACCAATTAGCAAGTGAACATTTTCTAAATTTTATTTATGTTTCTAGATAATAAAATTGTTAGTAATAATATCAAAACAAAAAGAAAGTGCACTTAAAATAGCACGAGTATTATTATCGACGAAAACGTAAAAATTAGTTGTTAAAAAGTAATTTATCTTACAATAATAATATTCTTACGCTCTTTGCCGGGATATGAAACATACCATTAATTATTGGTTAAAATTTATTAAAAATATAGAAATATAAAAGATAATTATTAAATTAAAAATAAAATAAAATATATATAATTTTTATATTATTTAATAAATTTTAATCAATAATTAAAATATATACTTAAAAATATGTTATTAACATTTCTCATAAAATAAACATAAATAAATAGTAAAAATATGTAATAAAAGATATGTTAATAAATAAATAAAATATAAAAATAAAATACAAATTTTATTTTATTTTATTCTAATATTTCAAATTTAAAAATAAAGTCATGCTAATATTTAGTAAGATATTTTTTTAAATAAGTTTATCCAATTTAAATCTAAGGTCGGTTAAAAGGTAAATAAATAAATATGAGTAAATTTGGTAAATAAAAAGTAAAGCACAAAAACGTCGTAGGTTTTAATTAATAATATGAATCAATAAAAAAAATATAATATTGCTATAAACACTTAATAGTACTTTCAAATAATTAAAAAGATAAGGTATTTTTTAGAAGAAGTGTGATTTTATTAACATTAATTTTTGAAAATAATTTCAAATTATCAAAATAAAAAATTATGTAGAGTCAATTTCCGTTTCAAGAAAAAAGACTTACATTTTATTAAATTACTTATAAAAAAATTACATTTATCTCATTTAAAAAGAGGAGTAGAAACATAACTTTGAGACTTTAGATATAAAATTTATAGGTCAAAATTTATTTTTTATTTCGAAATAAATTATTAAAAAATTAGAATATATAAAATCCATTTTTTATATTTTAAAAATGTTATGAACAAAATATTAATAAATTTTTATGAATACTAATTTTAAAACTACAACATTTAAAAAAATAAGAAACTTATTTAAAATTAAAAATATAATAATTTTCAAATTTCAAATTTGTTTTAAAAGCTTGAAATTGATCATAAAGACAGAAAAAATAAATAAAATTGACCGTAGTGTATTTGAAACCATCTAGATGAATAATAATATCTCACGTGTGACCCAGTTTTGAAGAACTGTAGGATGGGTAGGGTTGGTGGGGAGTTTAATAAAAGACTGCGTGTGCCTTACTCTACATTTTGAAAATAGTGACACGTGCTTTTAACAAGGAAAGACTGAAGAAATACTGGGTTCCTATTCCTAATCACCATCATCATCGCCCTCATAATTTAATTATCCATTCAACTCATAGATTCATAATTGACTTTATATAAAGAGCACCAAAATTATTATGAAGAACAAAAATAAATTCATATCCAATCTCTAGTTATTTAATCCATATATCATAACTTACTTTATTAAAATACATATATCTCATGTTCTTTCCTTATTCTAAATACTTAAACATAATGTATTTTAATACCAACGTGCTTTAATTTAAATTTGTGGTTGTTTAGATAATATTAAAATACTTGACATAATGTATTTATCATATTTTTTTTTATTATTTTCATAACTTGATTAAATATTAGTTAAAAACTTGTTTGTTTTAGTTTCTTTAACGAAAATAAGTTATTGAAAAAATGTTTTAAACTTTTTCGTTTGTTTAGGTTTATAAAAGTATAAATTTTCCTGAAAGTTCAAGAAAGTTACTTAAAAAGTAGAAGTAAAACATGTTTAATAAAAATATATGTTATGTAAAGATATTAAAAATTAACATTTTAAAAATGATTACGTATATTTAATGTAGCATATTTAATATATACTCTCTAGCCATATCCTTACGTCACTCATTAACACAATCTAAATATATCTTTTATTCGTGCTAGATTTTATTGTTCCTGTGAGAAGTGCATGTTACTAATCCATGCTATTAATGAATGGGATCGAACTATTTAGTCACAATTCAACTTTCCTAAAATGTGCATCCCACTTTCATGGCCTAAATTTTATATGAAGGAATAATTGGTTTACTACTGTAGTAGATTAATTCTTCTATTTTTTTTGGTTAGCAAAATTTCTTTTTGGATACAATTACAACTTAATGGTTTACTTAACATGGATCAAAGCATTTTTGGCTTACCAATGGTAATGGACCACCAAATTATGACCATAGATATAACAATTATAGAAAGTAGTGGTTGAAATTAGATATTATGACCAGAGATACATATATATATATATATATATATTTGCACGAGTGTTGTCCCTGTCGATAGAGGTCCAGTTCTAGATTATCAATGGTTAGTAGGGTGGGGATTGATAAAAAAACATTAATGAAGATGAAATACTTTGTTTTATTTTAAGCATTTCATGATTAATTAAGGAACATTGAACATGTTGTACAACTCTTCGTATATTTGTACACTTATTTAATTGTCTTTGAGTGATAAGTTAGTGATTGAAAATTCTCCTTACGAAAACACACACCGTTTTTATTACTCTTTTCTTAACATAACATTATACATTTCTTATCACTTGAACTTAGAGGGTACAAGTTCTTATTCATATTGGCCATATGATGACTTTTCGTGCATTGTAGTGGGAATTGTAACGTGTTATATGAAGAATATTTATCTACGTCTACTTTGAATTAATTTTTTTAATGTGTTTACTGCAGATAAAAGAAAAGTTGTATTAATTTTTTTTATAAGTTAAGACTTTAAAAATTTTCTCATTTAATTTATCTAAAACAGAAGATATATCTCATTTTGATACTCCTCCATCCTCCTTGTCCCTTTCTTAGCTTGTAGTTTGTGAGGCCTGTGGCTTGGTTTGTTTGTTTTAGATTTTTAAACCCTTTCTTATACAAAAAAAATAAATAGAAGATATATAAGTTAATTTTAATTTATTAAAATAATTATTTGTTTTATCTTATTTTATTTTTTATGAGTATTTTTGCAAAAATTTAGGATAACATGTTAGTCAAATTAATAAAATCTAACACGATTATTTCAATAAATAATAGGGATTAATTCATAATTTTTATATACAAATTTTAAAAATTATTTAATCAAAGTACATATATATATAAGTTCTAGAATTTTAATTAACCTTTAGCTTATAACTATTACCTGCACGTGAACATGTTTTTGTACTTTAGCAGTAAAGATTGGTTGGCACTAATAACATTTTAAGTACTGTGTCAAAATAATTTTTTAATTTATGTTTACCAATCAAATTAGTTGTTAAATTACAAAAATAATATTTTGAATTCTAAAATTATCAAAGAATAATCGTTTTAATACTTAACATTATTGAACAGCAATTATTTTAATTTTAAAAGATAAAAATAAGAATAAAAATATTGGTGTTTAATATTTTCAAAGATTAAAATATTTTTAAGAATTTTTTATACTAAATTAATTAAGAGTAAGGATCAAATTACTTTAAATATAACCTTTTTAACCAGAGTTATTCAACTTAATAACTTTTTGTAAATATTAAATTTCATCAATCTAACCATTAAATTAAAAATATTTTTAAATAAATAATTTTTTAAAATTACATAAATAAAAAGTAATTAATAATTCATGAAGAAATATTTAATATATATTTTAAAATTATAAATAAATATTAATTATAAAATTATATATCTACAAACATCTATAAAAATTTGATAAAATTAATAAATTTAATATTAATAAAAAGGTTATTAAATAAATTTTTTTAATTAGAGTTATTCCAAATGTTAATCATGAAGTATCATGATCTCCAGTCATTAATAATTAATATTAATAATTATAAAGATTAATTCAATATATTATTTTAACATTTATTAATTTCCTTAAATATCATAAGTAAATGGATATCTATCCATAGAAGTTTAGTTTACTTCCATTTAAAAGATCATGAAAAGTGAATATGACTAATGACTTGGGTATTTATGTAAACTCTAAAGCATGGGATCATAACTCATTGAAAAAAATGCCAAATAGGCTTTGAAGGAAACAGCATGAAAGCAACTCGATGCATCTAAATTATTGTGGAGGTAGCTAGAAAGCTAATCTATTGATTAGATGGGACATTATCTTACTACTACTGTTACTAAATACATTAAATTAAATTAGCTACTAATTGTGTTTGTTCTATCTCTCTTTTGCATTAGCTATTAAATATGACAAATGTGAAGGATTGTTTTTGGTTAGAAATAAAAAGAAAAATTCAATAACCATATTTATTATATAAAAAATATAATTATTATTGAATAATTTAAATAGTTTTAATCGATATCTTTTATAAAGTGGAGGGGCTAAGGTCAAAAAATTTGGTAAAAATATATAAATATTTCCAATATTTGTGAGATAGTTATTTAAAGGACCTAAAAATTGAAAAAAAAAAAGAAGAAGAAAGTGTTAGAATCCGAAAACGAAAACAATCAAAAATTGTGCTGAAAACAAGGATTAAAGGTCCACATTGGTGTGTCCAAAGCAACCATTGTGGCAATTCATAGCATCTTACATCACTAAATAATTAAATATTCTTTAGTCACCTCATCGATCTATCATTTATATATAAGAACCGGCAATAAAACAAATCCAAATATATCCCATTCATATAGATATTTTTGGCTGAACCATGTTGCATGACATCAGTTCCCACCAAAACACCTTTTTAGGTGAATTAACACCATATAGCTATAGCCACAGC